TGCAAATCTTCGGCATTGTGTTTTTATTCGGGACGAACGAGTGCTTTGCGACTTTACAGTGATCATTCATAATCGATGTAATCATTCACAATCCAGGTAACAAAAATTTATAACTTTTAGTTACTGCTTTGAGACGTATAAAACTTTGTTATCGATAAATATATGTTAGAAAAGGTTAGAATAAAATTAACATAAAATATAATTAATAATAATAAATTAGCAGCTCTCTTTTTTTTTTTTAATAAAACACAGCTCATTGCGTCGTTATAATATAATTTCTCAAGAGAGCGCGCTGAGTATTTTTACTTTTAATCGTAAAAGTTAATTGGAGGGCTCGTGGGGTATCAGAATTGATACTTATCATTTACTATGGCTTTTCATTAATGGATCTGTCAGCGTGCTTTGTTTTCCGTTTTCACCCTCCTGGTGTCTTATCGTGACGTTTAGTATTAGCGGCACGGGACGAATTTTTCTTGCCGATTGGCTTAACGCAAAAGCACGTCGGCCGATGATTCTTTATTCTTCTTTCTTATGATTCCACTTCGAGCGGTATTATCGTTCTTGGAATGTTGATTGAAAAATGTTTTTTCTTTCTTTAAAAGTCAACACTTGATGTGCCAGGAACGGCTTTAATCACCATCGGCAAACATAAGATATTACTCTTCGCTCAAGAGATTACAGGTTGCGAACGAAAAGCTTAGCTTTATACAAAAAGTTTCATTATATATAATTTTCGATTAATTTGAAGTTTGTGTACAAGTTTTGTGTACAAGTGTCTCGATTAAAGTATATTTTCGTGTAATGGTTTATAAAATCGATATTTTTTGCTATTATTGAAAAGACGCTTTTTGTTACATTTCAAGAAAATAGTGAGATTAAATTTATTGAAAAATTTGCCGTTGCAGGATATAGCGACATAATTCCGAACATTTGTTATAAATTTTTTGTGTAAGTTGAAAATAATTGATAACTATGTTTTTTGAATATACATAATTCTGCACGTTTTTGAAAATATATGCTTCATTTAGATACGATGACACATTATGAGATATCAATAATTTGTGATTGCAAACGGCACTACATGAAAACATATCCAATTGCCATCATCACAATGCAACATAATAATGCAACAATAATAGCGGAGAATCGTGCTATGAATAAATGATGTAACGCGATTCTCCAAACAAATTGGAATTCATTCTCTTTTAACGATAGCAAACATAATGCTGCTATACGATTTCAAACTGTTATTTACGTGCAAAGTTTGCTTTCTACATCTGAGCGGTAATATTTCATTTTTGGAATGCAATTCAATATGTCATCGTTACACATTTGTGCTATCTCTTTCTCTCTCTGTTTGGAAAATTAATAGTATGTCTATGTTTCTTGATAAATGACGTAATTTAAGACGATAATCTCATAGTAATAACAAATCGATAATGAGAATTTAAGAAGATAATTTCTTAATAACACATCGATAATGAGACGTAAACACAAACTATTGAGTGTCTAACAAAGCGTGTAACGTGATTCTTTCATCAATTTTGTTTTTCTTTTTACAATTTTATCGCGCGATCAAACGCTATTTTTTTGCCACCAGTTTTGAATTTACAATTTTAAACATTTTTATGATTTAATAAATTAAAATGTTGTTAAAATAGTATTTTAAATTATTCAAGAAGAATTTTATTTCATAATTACCAATGTCATATAAAATGCCGTAGATCAATTAAAAATATTTCACATGTTATATTCAGGTTATTGCCAGGTATTTTAAATTTTACAGATTACAATTTATAATTAATTTTATTTTAATACCTATAATTGCAATTAAATTATTTATATCTACAAATATAAAATGTGAATTATTTTCAGGGAGCAAAAATATATAAATTCACAAAATTATATAAAGCGATAAGAAGGTCAAAGTCGCGTTATAATAATCACTCTCTCTCTCTTCAAGTATAGCGATGTGTCAAGTACAGATTACTTCACGAAATTGTTGTGTCACATTTATTGCAATATCATGTAACGCGGCACGCTGCGAAGGAACTCGTAATTTATTTACACTGTTCATCAGGTTGAAAAAGCGAGCGACGATAATTAAGAAGCGGTCAATTTCCGTGTAGCGCGACAGAAACGAACGGTGCTATCGCCTGTCGCAGTGAGCGCAATATCGGTCGCCCGTTGGCTTAACGTGAATTCATTAATAATCGTCTCGCCGCTGTTTTTTCCCGCCCGTCGATGCGGCTCCGCGGCACAAGCACGGCCCATTTTTCATACTGGAACCCCCGTTCGCCTCGTTTGCATTTTCTCCGCAGGAGGAAAGTACAACCTCGTACTTTCGTCACTCGCGCCTCGTAATTTCCATCTCATTTCGCCCACGGCGACGCTTAAATACCCTTCCGCGGCTTGCCTCGACGGATAAATACGACAGATAAGACGGAGAAACGGACATTAGACGGCTGATTTGCGTTCATTCCCGTACGTGTCCGTTAAATTAACCCTCGTCACGGCATGGGAGGGAGTTTTCGGGACGCGGCTTCTTTTACATTTTAAATAGAACTGTGGTCTCCCGAATATGTAATATCGTTGAAACGGAATGTCTCAATATTTTATGAAACAATATTGAGTAGCTCAGCCTCCTTCAGCGTTGTTTTAAATTTAATAATATAGCTTTTCGACATGAACAGATTGTACGTTGTCTTGTTCATCATTTTTAATATTAAAGGATATTGTGATAGCAATTGTCGAGTAACGAACGTGATACAAACTGTTCGAAATGGAATAAGAAATAAGATTTTGCAATTTGTATGAAGCGAATAGTCTTCATTAGTTCCTTCTTGTGGATCGATGCGTACTGTGAAAGGTCAGTTTCCGAACGCTTTCTTCATTAACCATTCGATGCAGGATTAGGTGACTCACAATATGTACCATTAAGGCCACTAAAGCAGAAAGGAATGGCGGTACGTGATCGGAAAAGCAAATTTTTTTTGTTTGCTTTGATAGCAGGCTTGACGAAGAGCCTTTAGGGATATTTAATTCGTTTTTTGTTTCGTCGACACGCGCGTCGCATGCGAATATTATCTTCTGAATAACAAAAAAGCTCCGTTTTGATTTTATAATGAATTAAAAAATGTGAAGAGAGAATTCTTCGCAAAAAGTCGCACGTTCGATTTTTTTAGAAGGCCATCATGTAGCAATATTGACTTTTTTATGATTTCAGTTCCAATTTCATTCTCGTTTATTTTTTTTCGCATTGTAGATAAATATCGCATCCTTGTTTGTTGTTGAAGCACGAAGTGTTGATTTACGGTAATCCGATTTTGTTTTTCATACTGATTTTAACAGAATTAATGGTACAAAACGACTGTAAGCTTTTCTGTTTTTTTATAAGCAAATATTTTACGTTACTAAATATTAAATTGTCAAATAGAGATATTCTAGTGCAGCGAGAGACAGAGTTAATCATTCTAATTTTTTAATTAATTATCATTAATAGAGGAATAATTATTAATGGACATAAATAGGTCGCCACGGCGTGTAAGCTGATACAAATCTTTTATACTATATTTGTGCATGGTTCAAAAAAACTTTTTATTAAAAATAAAAGTTTACAAATAATCTATATAAATAATTAAATCTATATAAAATAATTAATTTATATAAATATTACTAATAATCTATATAAATGAATATATTAAAAGCTGTTGTGTGTAATTGTATATTATATTAATTATTAGAAAATTAGTTGCATATTATCTGAACATATTAAAAGTATTGTGCAAAAAGTTACTATATAAATCGTATATTTTCTTTAATAAAAAGAAATTTTTAAGCCGAGCGATTTGATTGTGATAAAGGATCCGATCTGTGTAATTATAGCACTGATTGTGAGAATATATTACCTGAATGAGCGAACGCACTTCCATCTTGGTTTTAGGTTTCTCAAAGTATACTGATCTCGTTGCTGAGGGTGGTTTCGTTCCTTTGGGACAGTAGCTCAATTTTAGCTCTTATGACAAAGAGACTGATGCAGCTGGATTCTCTGTTGACAGACGTGTGATCTATGAGAGTCTAATATGTCATGCGCCTCTCTTTCTCCAACACGCTTATGTCGATGAAGTAATTTTTAATTAGTCAGAAATTTTTTCGAAATCTATTTACTTCTTTAAACATTTTTTTTCTACATTGAGATATTTGTTCTGTTTTGACGCAGTTTTTATATATATATCTTTAGCTGAATTTGTGATATCCATTTTGATCTAAATTGATGTTATTATTATTTATTATCGTCGGATGGAACCAATAAGACCAACATCGTGATCGTAAATGAGAGGAAACTTCGGAAATAAGTTTCGAAGTTGGTCGAATTAGAGATAATGAAAAAGTTGTGATAGTTGGATTGATGGGTTTTAATTGATGCGTTCGACGTGTTGCGTCGCACCTGTCATCGTGCTATACTACTGTCTATATTGTATCGATGAAGCAATGAAATAACATTTATATTTAAATCTTGTTCTATGAAAAAAACTAAAAATAAACATATATATTGCAGCATGTGCATAAATCTCGTGTTTGTTCGAAAATATTTTTAAATTTTATATGAATGAATAGATATAAAAAATAATTATTATAAAAATTGTATAATACGAGAGGAAATAACATCACACGATACAAAAGCGGATAAATAAAAATTTTCTTCAAAGCTACATAGAAAGAGTGCGGCCAAATGTCCGTAGGCAATGTGCCCCAATTTTTTTGCGTTTGATTTTGTACTGAAACGTGGTATCAGAAGGCTACATTTTAAAACTTACATATTTGCAATCAGCTTTCTTCCGATACCACGCTTGAGTACAAAATCGAATAGAAAAAATTTTTTTAATTTACAAAATAATTGTTTTATTTCTGGAGTAATAAATTAAAAATGATAATGAAACATTAAGTGGCATTTTAAAGATTTCATTGACATTTTAAAGATTTCCACAATGAGACAAGAGTGTATTACAGATGCGTCGTTTATTACGATTGAATGTAAATACATATATCGTGAACAGGCCATTGATGAAGACGCATTTATAATATCCGCATTTTTATATTTTCGAGCCTAGCGCTCACAGCTTGATGCATGCATGCTCTTATTACTAATGCTTATCTAATGCTATTCTTAATTACATCACAGTTTACAAATACGCGCAACGTATATAATACAGAATTCGCGATAAACGCATTATTCTTGCAAGCATTCTTTTTACATATTTTGATTTATTTTGACCACAATAATGGAAGCAGGATGGCGTTTTCCACCCCATTAGATGACTGGATCTTCTGAAAAATGAAAGCAAAAAATTTTTATTTTGTTAGCGAAGTATAATATAAAACAGATAATATTAGTATGGAAATGGTACATTTATTTTATTGTTATTTATTAAAGTCTTTCATATTATTCATGCGCATTTATATATAATTTTGTTTAATTTAATGCTATCAAAAAACATAGAATTTTATATTAAGATATAAATTAAATTAAATAACATTCTTAAATATTAAAAGTTATAATAAATTTCCAGCATATTTTATAACAATTAGCCATTTTTATCCAAGCTTTGTACAAAAATTTATAATTTTTTTGAATTGTTAAACGTTGTTTTATTTAATTTATTAAAAGATTATTAAAAAAATTTATTTAAAAATTAAAACGTTTTGTGCTTTTGGTTATAAGCGTTATTTTTTTATAAAAGCAGAAATTTATTTAGAAAAATTTTACAAATAATTTCAAAATAATGTTTGATAAATGATAGTAATTAAAATAGTAATAAAAAAATCACTATTAAATTTTTTTTTTTTTTTTATATTAATTACAATCTCTATCGTATATTTTACACAATACATTTCACAATTTAAAATATCTCGCAAAGATATTAAACTGCTCGAGATACAATCTTTCGATCGTCCGTGAAGTGAATTTTTGTTTGGCACTGTGGGAAATTTGTTTAACCGCTCATATTCGTAGAAAAATAAAGTATTCCTACGTCAGAATAAAGGTATGACATTGATTAATCGGTGAGCGGCGCAGATGCATTTAACCCCTTTGCTTCAGAGAAGTTTGATCGAGGCAAGCTAGCAATGCGCTGAATATTAACGCGCATTGATTTCGTTCTCCGCATCCACTTTAGGGAGCACTTTATGCATCGCTTGCAATCTACATTAATGCGTTTTATTACGTGCGAGATAACAAAAATTGTGATGAAATTTGTTCTAATTACATGCGGATTATTTAGACTAATTTTTCAACATTTTCAGTTTTACAATATACGCTGCTTCATCCCTATTATTACCTCGTTATCACTAAAGAATTTATTACTCCAACACATATATTTTCATGATTTTATGAGTGTATGCATGGTGTCGGAAAGTGTGATGAATTATGCATTTATTCTAAATGGAATAGCATATCGTATTATTTGAAGCTTCTGACTGCCATAATTAAATTTACTTTATAATAGTAACATGATTTATGATACGTACAAAAGAGAATTTTAAAAGTCGAGTAGAATAAATCCATAATTTATAAAATTCACGTGTTAGCTTTAAAGTCTCATAAAGAGACACTTCCGAAAAGAAAATCTAATTATACAATCAAAGGATTGTGTCCGTCCGTGATTTGTCAGGCGTTTAAATAAACCGAGCAAAGGATTATCTCAGTGGAGAAATCACAATAGTGCAATTGTAAATGTCAAGTTTCGCGTTTCCATCCTTTGACGGAGCACGGAAGAGATGCACACACTCTACTGGTCACTACATGTTAAACTCAGCAGTTGCTTTGAGAAGGTGTTAACGCAAAGCACAAACGGACAAGTCGTCGGTCAGGTCGTCGATTGCAATGGTCAAAGACGTGAATGCAATTTCTCAGATGTTAGTGTTTCGGTACGGAATAATGGTCGGTCTGTGCGGTGGTTTGTCGATTCGCTCGCGCAGCACTTCGTCATTCTCTACCGCGCAACTGAAATACGTGAAACTATGTTACGCTTCTGGCAGTTTACTGAGCACTTCTCATTTTTCAATTTCTGCATCGTTCCGTTTCATACGCGCCTCTTTGCACCGAGAGCGTTGTGTTATCTCAACCGAGGTTTGTTTTATCATTTGTATGAGATCGGAGTTTACATTAGAATATTCGTAAAAATTGAAATTTCTCTTTTAGTTTTTCAAATAATTTGTACGTAATTCATAAACGTTAATTTAACATATTTTATTAATGGCCATATTTTAACAGAATTTGATTTGATAAATGCAGGGTATTTCGGGAGGAAAGGGAAATATTTTGAGGATGTGTTCAGAAGGTCAAAACAAGAAAAATAAACCAATATGTTTAGGTCCGAATTCTCAGCCATCAGAGATAATTAGATCTAAAGTTTCAAAATTGATTTTGTTATTTAATAATTTGAAATAAAAAGATTGCACAAAATTTATTACCAAATAGATAACAAAATTTATCAATTATTTTATTTTTATTTTATTTTATTTATTTATTTATTTATTTATTTTTTTGAGAATTCGGACCTGAACATATTGGTTTATTTTTCTTGTTTTGACCTTCTGAATGCATCCTCAAAATATTTCCCTTTCCTCCCGAAACACGCTGTACAGTTTGGACCCCATAAAATGGAATATGCCAAGAATATAAATATGGCTCTTAAACATTTTTGAGGAAAGGAATTTATTTCGCTGTGTAAATATTTAATTTCTCGCTTCTAAAAAGCTTCTAAAAATAACACATTCTAAAAGCACATTCTTGTATATTCGATGCAATATATGTGTTCAATATGGAACGGCCAGAATACATATTGCAAATGTTGGTGTATTGCCGTCAATGTTAGATGGCGAATGCAATATGCGAAGTTTATTGAACGCGTTGTTTGATTATCATATTGAATTCGTCGAAGATAGGCAAATGATCAACATCTACACTATGAATTGTAGACTGTTGATCTTGCGGCCAAGTAATCCAAGGAAACCGCGACATGATTATACAGTGTTTATACGGCGGTTAATCTAAAGCTTGTTCAATATTTGTCATATATTAATGTCCGACATTTCAAGATTGCGGAAAGAACTTTAAATTATATTTATTTTGTTTTGCAATCTTTTTTATATATATAATTACAACTTTAAAGCTATCACACAGTTTAATTATTTGCTACTCTCTATATTGTAACGCAAATTGGCACGTAACATCAGATACAGCAGCACGAGCAGTATTAACTTCAATACTTTAATTTTAGCCTTCAGAAATGTAGTTCAACACTTAATCAAATGTTAAGTTTGTTAGATATTTTTAGGTATTATTATATATATAGATATTATATTTTTAGATATGCGTAGGATACTTGCGATAAAATTATTTTTCGCAAATTGATTTTCCCACGTATCTCTCTCTCTCTCTCTTTTTTTCTATCCTGAAAATCTTGGAATTAGTACAGCTAATATATCATATACTCTGATAGACTTTGATTTACTTTGAAGTATTTTGACGATTATTATTGATGATATTTTTCGTCCACGCGTATTTTGTGTCTTTAATTTTTTAGCAATTATTTTCGTCAATTATGACAAAAGTGTTACAATTTAGATATTGGGATATAAATTCTGCGTTTTATTTATCGTTGCTTGGATATATTTTTGATTATTTGATATTATAACAAAGGTGTATATTTAGAAAGGGATTAATAAATTACAATAATTCCGAGCTCGTAGAGCTCTTGGAAATTTCTTAGAATTCTCTTACACTCTGGTCGTCCACGCATCGTTCGCAAATTCGGATTCTAAGCATTTACGGGACGTATAGAAGATTGTTTGTGTACCTTCAGCGAATTGGTTTAAACCTCCGTGAAAACGCGCGGAACGCTGGTAGTTCATGGGACGTGCGCATAAAAACTTGATTGCCGCGGAACTGCATTCATCTATCGGGCACTGAAATATGACTTCCTGGTGGTTAATTCTGTACCACTATTTTGAGAGAGAGTGCACGTGCTCGAGCATAGTAAAACCGGGAAAACACCGGACCCTGTTAGCGTCGGTTTTTCACGTCGTCGTAATGTCATCGATAAATTAAGGCTCTCCTTTAACGAGAACATCGATCGTGTGCATTATCTTCGAAAATTAATTGCGACACACAATTGAGCACTTCTCGTGACATGTGCAGAAACGCTGATTGATATTCTTTGCGCGCATTGTTGCTTCTGTTTTCATTTAAATAATTGATGAACGCCTATTTAAAATAGTTCGCACGTTGTTTCGACGTGTCCTATAATTTTTTCTTCGTAATTTCGCATGCACGATGCAATTGCGATTTGTTCCGTGTTCAAGATATGTCAGCAAGAGTTTTATAATATAGAATATGTAATATTGTATATGTAAATCTTTTTTTAACATGCATATTTGTGTGCTTATAAAACGAGTTGCATTCGTCACGCATAGTGAATCAGAAAAATTTTGTTGATGAAAGGGCGAGAGTTTCTGCATATTTCTAGTGTATCATAAATATTTATAAATTTTTCAGTTTTATGTATTTGTGCTTAATATTATGGTGGCGTATTGATTAAAAGTATTTCTGTAGTTTAACAAAGTAAAGTGTAATATTAAAGTACAGTTTAATAAATTCTTAAAATAAAAATTAAATTACAAAGAAATTGGTTAACAATGAGATTTTATATGTTCTTCAACGATAACAAATGAGCAAGTTTCATATATTTTTGATTTAATTTATTAATCGATATCTTTCAAACAATTTAAATTGTATTATCAAGTTAATTAAGTACGATTTAACGCGCGATTTGATCTAATTATATCCTCATTGTTGATGAAATTTTGATAGAATATTATGTGTACACGTAAATTTATAATAAATTAAAATATATCGGGGCTATTTCGATCAAGGGACTAAGATTGATAAAATATTTTTTATTAGATTGATAAATTGAAATGATCGGAATAACCCGGATGTATCTTAATTAATTAAAAATTCAAGGAATGGAATTCTATTTATTTTATTATAAAAGTATCATTACGAAACTATCGAAATATTAAGCTTATTATTTTGAACGTTATTATTACAATGTGAATGTATTATATTTTTGTTTTGCAGATGAACTTCGGCATTATGGATCGTCATATTTTTTTTTATCTAATTCCTGTCGTTATATAATAAAATACGTGTCGCGAATGCGTCGGGAGTGCCGTCATAGTTTCGCGCGAGTTTAAAACAGTGAGTTTTAACAAATCGTATGGACGAACGCACTTCCAACGAATATAGTAATAAATTTTGGAACACGATAGCATTTTTTTTTTACTTTCGACTCGAAGAGGACAAAGTTTCGATGATTATCTTAGAATCATTATCTTAGGACTGTCACAAATGGGCTCTTTTCAGCTGTTTATTACACGTCTATCAGTCATAGTTCACTCCAAAGCGGATAAGTCGGGTTACCTTAAAGCACGAGGAAAAATCGGACTCAGTCAGATAAGTTGTTTTTTTTTGTTGATATCCGAGACATTAGGGACGGATAATCTAGACAAATATCTTCTCTCTCGTCAGACGTTCACTGGCCGCATGATTTTTTTTAATCTTACAGTTTAGTCAACAGTAACGTGACTGTTCAGACCGATGTTAACATTAGTTACGCAGGTTTTTCTTATTGCTGTGCCGAGGAACCTTATTCGTGTCGACCCTGCGGGTCCTATTTCAGATCCTACGGATCCGTTTTCTTCGGGCTTACCTTTTTACTCTCTGTTTTGTGACAGCGGTATCCCAATTTGGCAAGTGCGATCGTCCGAACGAAATTTGCGAGTAACGTCGCATCATAAATTATTCAGCTCGCGATATTGGATATCGGTGGTGTCGTTTAAAGCGCCACGTGTAATCGTATTGTGTTAATTATGTCTTCGCTAAAAGTTTATGTGTGTGTGTGCCATGAAGAAGCGGAATTACTGAGGAGCGGAAACGGCTGGGTGGCCATCAGGCGACAGCGCAGCAACATTGCGGTGAGTAATTTATCACAAGAAATGCAGACTTTTTAATATGTATTTTAAAGATGATGGAGGGGTTAATTTAATATGCGGAGCTGTTTTACATAGAAAATTCCAAGACTAAGTATACATCAGCAGTTGCGTGGGCACAAACACATTTTTAATAAGATTTCCTCCGAGTAGATACGCGGTATCAAATATCATTTAACGTCTTCTAAATTTTGTATCTCATTTGAATATAATATGCTTCATATTTTTTGATGGATTATAAAAATTAGATTAGAAAATCCAAACAGTGCAAATTCCAAAAATAGTTTATAGACTTTTATATTCATTTTGTCCTTCATTTTTATATTTTGCGCTAATTATATATTTTATCATACTTATTTCTAACAATATAAAATTATTTTTATCTTAAAACATTTTATATAACTACATAATTGCGATATATTTTTTGTTCCATGAAATTTTTACAAAATTGACATTGATTGCTTATACTGCTTGGCACTTCTAATTTACGATAAGTAAATGATAAAAGACATAATGTGATCCTAGAGTGGAATGTAGGGTGATAAGGAACGATTCAGGTCAATCGGTTGAAAAGACACGGCGATGCTTAAAGAAACAACTTTTCTGGTTTTTGCGATAGTGGATGTAATACAAACAATCCGTTCTTATCTACAAGAATATACAAGTACCTTATCTCGGTACTTGCCAAAACTCAGGAGTTTCGTTCCAACATCACAGTACATTAAACTTATCATTTCTGCCTCTTATCGAGGAAGCCAAGGCGAGTGCTTTGTCATTTGTTCGATATCGATTCCGTAATATAAGAAGCAAATAAGGAAGAAAAACGAGCGTTCATGAACATAAATCGTCATCCTTAACGCCTGTCAAATCGTCTCTTATACACATTCCTGTATCTTTCTTTCATTCTGCATGAAAGAATAAATGTTGCATACGCTTGACTTGAAAAAGGAAAATAATATTTATTTTAATTAAAATAATATTGTAAAGTGTGGTTCTTTAAACGATATAGAGAGCAGTAAGAAACGTAGTTACACGAAAGAACTATTAATTTTATTAATTAATATACACAAAATACGTTTTGACCATAATTTCGGGCCCTCTTCAATTTAATAGGATGTAACATCCTATTAAATTGAAGAGGCTCCTTGAAATTGTGGCCGAAACGTATTGACATATTAATTTATAATAATTAATAGTTATTAGTTCTTACGCTTCGATAATTGCATGATTTTTACAATTAGCACTGTTTCTTTCTACATTATTATTGATTAAAATATATATTTTTTGCGATGGATAAAAACAACCCATTTGTTTAGTCATAAAAATATATTTTTTAATACACAAATGATTGATTTGAATTATTTAATAATTTAATATAAAATAATTTCAAAGACAAAATGTAAATGTATTCTAATGTTTTTTTTTTTTCAAAAATAACAAAGGTGTTTTAATTTCTTCAAATTGCGTTTAGTAAAAATATGATCATTCTGAGGCTAATTATTTTTTAAAAGTTTTTATGCGCATCGTAAAAAGGATTTAAAGATACAAAGAAAAAGGACGGTTGATATTTTAACTGTCGCCGCGGTCGCAAGATTTCTGTGAATAGCGTGAATGCTGCGACATTAATATCGCACGGAAATGAAGCAAAAACCATATATCCTTGACATACTTTATTAATATACCTAAAAGACTACTGTTTTATTCGCATGCAAATAGCAGCATTTACTCCAAAAGATTACATTGTGTGATTTAAGGATGACATTTTTAAATCGTCCCTTTTATTCTTGCATGGCATTGAATTTGGCATTGAATCTTATACTTAAAGACATCGATCCAGTGCCGGTTTTAGAATCAGTTCGCCCCTAGGCAATATTTCAGGGCGTCCCTTGCATTTTTTAATTTTTAAGATGGGAAGGTATCAAATAAGTGAAAATCATGTTAAATTTTTTAAATTTCTATTCACTTCGTAAACAAAAAACAAGAGCAAAGAAATAAAATATGAAAAACATAAAATATAAGTTCAAATCAATAAAATAATATTAAATTAATATATATTAAAAGGCATCTCGAGCCATCGCTGGATGCTAGTGCGAAAATTATTAATGTTTTCATATAGAAACTTAATTTGTCCACTGGAGACATTATTAAAGTGCACACTGATCTCGGATTCGAGATACTAGAAAGCGTACGAAAATTACATACATCGATCTTATCTTCAATTTGGAAATTATTTTTACTTTACTTTCAACATGTGTTTTTTTCGACGGTTTTTGTAAAAACTGTTTGATCAATTCCCACATAAAGAAAACTTGTTTCATTTCGCAATGGCTTTATATCGTTCATTGTTTTTAGCAACGGGTGGGGCGTCCCCTTCTCTCGTGGCGCCCCTAGGCTATTGCCCATGATGCCTAGTGGTAGAACCGGCACTGCATCGATCCGATCGTTTTTCTCCTCTCGCTACAGTTTTCTCGCATAATTTATTCCAACGGGAGCAGCTGCGATATATGAGTCGATTCATGCGAAATCGCGAGCCCACGTTTCAGGTTCCATAACTTTTTATATTCTCGTAGATTGCTCACCCGAGTCATCGGTGCGTTTTCATTAGAGGGTCGCAAGCAAAATAAAGTGACGATGTCGGTTTACAAACGTGAAATTATTGTAAATTGTTTAGGCGATTATACGCGGTCGAATCTCAAAGCACGTGGATCAGTATTTTTGACAGAAATAAAAGATTTTCATTATTATACATTCGTTAATTCGATATTTATTTTATTACATTAATGGAAAATATCGGGGGATGCATTATTATTTTTTTAAATCTCAATTGCTATGCTTAAATTTAGTAAATGTGATGAAAGAGCTCAATTTGGCCGCAGCAAATATACGGCGCAATAATCTAAATTAATGGATTAACAAACAACATGAATTTTACTCGATTACTAAAGTACCTAACAATATTCCGCGCAAATGCAATAATCTACGTGGATAACGATTTTTCAGACAAATTTTATAAAACTTTCCGAGGAATATTTATTAAGAATTGATCCTGTGTCGCATTTATCGTGACAGTGAAACTAATCGCTCGTTTGCGTTTAAACTCTTTGCGAGACTCGAGGGCAGAGGGCTACGTGCAAACGACTCGGTTCTTCGTGCCTTCCCGACGTGGTCAGCGGTAATGTCGATTGCGACGTGGCACGAGAGATATCTGTTTTTTTTTTTACCGCGGCTTTTTTCGTCGCGCGATAAAAGAACGCGCGCGCGTCTGGTCGAGACGGTAAAGCGAGACGAATAATCGTACGTTTCCATCACGGCGCCGTCGTCAAACGGTTGAGTGCCCAAGAGGGTGGTATGCATGAATATCTCTCTCTCTTTCTCTCTCTCTCTCTCTCTCTCTCTCTCTCCTTCTCTCTCTCTTTTTCTTGGCTCTCAGAAGCTGGCATAGTTCGCGGTTCAATTTTGTCAGTAATACTTGATTCGTTCAGGCTGCGTTTTACGGGAAGGAAAAAAAAACTCTTCTTCCGCGGCGAAAAAGAAAATCTCGAGGATGTTTAATGTATGAATAAAAAAGAAGCGGTGACGACTGCCAAACGCGCTTTTTATTTCGTCCCGCCACGGTGAATTTTGAAATTGCGTTATCCTTCGAGAGGAGAGAAGAAGAGGGAAAACTTCTCGAGGATTGTTGTCGCACGCGTATCGAACGGGAAGCGCGCTGCAAAGGATATTCTCTCTTATCGGATCCTGTCTCTTATCCCTGTTTTCGTCGTATTGCAAACAGATTGCCACGTACACTTTCCGTACTTCCTGTCAAATAGAATCTCGAGATTGCACTACATTGAGGGGAGGGGCGGCGGGAAAGGGAGAAGTTACGCAAGCAAACTCCGTAATGCCGCTCGGCAAATAATGCCGTGCTATTAATATCAGGTACCGCGGGTGGAAGAAAATGGAGCGATAACAGGAAAATAGGGAGTGCAAAATAGAGAATCAAATATGTAATTTAAAGCCCCGACGGGTAATTAGTCGCGGAATTCTACTTGCATTTTTATACGCCGCGATACGCCCTGTCCCCGATTCTTCTAACGTTTTCGCACGCACACGCGCAGGTGCGTACAATTACAAATGGAATTGTACTACAAGTTTCGCGTTATTCCGATCGCGTTTGTTTTGTCTGTTCTGCTGCTTACGTGTATGCTAGATTGCGCGAGCTGCGTTTGTACGTGCATTATCTTAACGTCGCGATATATGGTATATTCCCACCCTCAGCTCGTATTCATCGTCGTACTTCCCTGAGATAGCAGCACATTACAGCAGAATTGCGCGCTCATAATAATAATGGACGCTCCAGCTACGTTACACGTTGCAAATTAGATTATTTTTTTTGGAACGCCCGGGCGGAGGATTTTGCGGAATTTACACGAGCGATATTAATTACATTTAATCTCTCATGAAAAATGCACTATCTACATACCGAAACTCCCCGCAATAATGAACGGTATAGGAAGCAGAAGTGTTATTGTTTCTTTACTGCGGAGCTCGAAGCGCACAGAAAAGAAACTGCTCTGTCTTAATAAAAGATTTGACGCATGACAAATAAAAAATTAAATTGGATTTACGTTGCTTTCACTCGAGCAGAATAAATCGCAAAAGTAAACCGACTGAAAGACTTTCTACTGAAAGTCTTATTAAAAATTGAAAATTAAAGACTAAGGAATTACTTCTTACAAAATTTACAGAAAGAAACTTTTAAAGTATCAAAATTTTTAAGGTTACAGTGCATCAATCCTATTTCATTCTTTTGTTATCAAATTTTTTTGTGCAAATCGGAATAAATTTACACACGCTGATAATTTCTTGTTCTTTCCACGAAATCTTATCAGTTTCGCCGACTTTAGCCTCTTTCTCTCTGCATCGACTAATGCATTTTAATGCACGGATAAGCGGACGACATGTTTCAGCATAGGGAGCTTAACGTCACCGATTGCCGGAGG